CCTTTCTATTCTCCTGTTTGTCGTTTTGATTCATCATATCGTCATAGCATGTGTGAAGCATATTCTTTATATATCCTAGAGACCCTTATTCAATCAAATGGGTCGATGCCGGTGAATAGTCTGTGGAGTTGTATTTCCGCAAGGTTTCAAAAAAATGCTGAATTTATATCCGTAATCGGTAACACGATATCCGATTTTGAAGAATTTCTACTTAAACAAACCTCGCTATTTCGTATTGCAAATCATATAGTCTCTCTTCTTGATTCAACAAGAGTATGCCTTGGTGACAATGTTCCTATAGTAGAGAGGCGGCGTAGCGCTTATTCTAAAGAAGCACTATCTTCTCATAGTGGATCATCTTCACACAGTGGAAATGGTTGTAGTGATTTTGAATCTGATACTGCGGCAGTCAAATTTTTTCAGGCCCATCTATTAAAGCGTCAAGAAAAATGGGTCCCCATAAAGAGCTTGGCTGGTCACTTATCTCAGGCTTCTGCCAAAGTACGTACAGCTGTTGGGCCACAATCTGATTTTATCCACTTCTTAAATCGGCACCCGCTGGTATTCGAAGTGCAAGGAGAGTTGGCGAGTCTACGTGATGATTTCAGAAATGCTTGTTTTATGGCCAGTTCATCTAATGCTATTCTTTGCTTGAACTCCAAAAGAAAAAGAAAAGAGAGGCCACAATCAATGAGAATTTCGAATTTGGTTATTAAGAAAAATTCTTTCTCGGTCCCTACAGTCTCAGATTATCTTAATGTTCAAGCACCATTGTCTCACAAACCCAACTACATTGTTCCATCTTCAGTCGCGAATTTCACCAGTACTTCATATGGAAATACTGTAGCTCTAAGCGGAAGCGAGTATAAGTCCGTGATGTGGCTTAGACAAATGGTGGTCAAGCATTCTCCAAAGGCCAAAGTGTCATCTATAATGCAAGAGCTCATAAATGCCGCCGAGTCCATTCGAAATACAATAGGCCTAACTCAGATTGAATTAGTGGAGTTCCTATACAAGCATGGATCTATATTTACTTTTAATGAGTCCTCCGGGTGTGTTGACCTTTGTAGCACTCGCAATATAAACCTCTTAATAATGGGGAGTCGCCCGCATAATGAGAATAGTTTTTCCTTGATAAGGCAAAGGGGTTGCGTCTTTTGCGTCACAAAATTATGGGGAATTATCGATTTGGGATTCCATGAGCATGTATTCTTTGACCGCTCGCTATTCAAGCACGTTACGGATCTAACAAAGCATTTCAAGGTTGGTCAAACATTTTTGTTCTAGTATATATAGTGCGTTACGTATGTGCATTAAAATACACTTATTTTTGCAGAAAGGATCACTCACATTAGTTTGAAAAAATTTCATATATTACAGTTGCCTATTTCTTAAGACTCATTTAGTGAGTAAACTCGCTGAGACTTGCTAATTTTTTACCTATTTGTATTTGAAAACTTTACTTGGCTAAACAGAGGGGGCTAATATATGCTTTCAACTATATTATCCTTCATTTTTTGGTTCCTTATATTTATTATTTATCTTAATCAGATCATCTTTTTAAAAATGTTAATATACGACCATCAATTTGTGGCGATTTTTGCTCAGCAGGCCGGGCATTCTGGACAAAATTAAATATAGATTAATCAACTTATCCGCACCTTGCCTGCCATCTATGGGGCATTGTTATATTGGCTTGGTAAACACACATTTTTAGGAGAAATTACGATGAGCTGCTATTCGTAACTAGAAAATGTCCTGGTTCATAAGCCTTTGCTAAGGTGAAGAATGAGTACGATGCATATAATTTGTATAAGCTATTTTATT